AGTCGCGAGCGATAACATAACGTACAGAGCAGAAGTCACATAGTTGAAACAATTCAGCAACAAAACCTCTCAGAAATATACAATAATGTCAACTGTATACTAAAAAAATGAATTGGAAAACACAGTAGAATAACAAACTGTACATACCAGCGTGCTTTACTTAGCTCCGCTCACTACACAACAAGTTTCTCTGATCAACAAACGGCTGACTGTGCACGAGACCAGGTCAAACAAAAGCCTAATCCCCATCTACCAAAGAGGGCGCTCTACCGCAAACTGAACATAAAGAAATTTGGTCTCAACAATTTCATTTAAAGGTTTTTTTCTTGTCCTTGTAACTCTTAGACTACAAAAATAAACTTTCATTGCCTTTAATGAACTAAGTCGTCTGATCTTTTTAAATAAAAAATTTGATTTGTGATGATTACTTTATTTAATTTTAGTGAATATCTTTGTCGTTTATGGTGAAACAAAATGTTTCTGATGGTTTTGATAATTTAAAGTCAGCTTGATTTGAGTCATTCCTTTATCAGATTTTTTTTATTTAGTGTTGATAGCTTCACTTTTCTCATTTTTGTGAATATTCTTGTTTATAATATTTTGAAAATGACTAGACTGATTGATTGGATATTCCTCAGCCAGCTTGTTTCACTTCATTTTGTTTTAAAGATATGCAATCTGGAGATCACGTTTCTGTTTATGCTGACACTGACAGTCTTTGTAGGAAAGGATCTATCAAGAAATATGACGGTATTAAAGTGTACGTGGGTAATGGTGTTGCACAAGTCAGTAGATCAGACATATTTACAGAAAATGATATCAACAGGTCAGTTTAAGTTACATTACACATATAATATTATACATAAGCATTTGTTTTATGATTACATTCAAGATGGCTGAATGGCAGTCATTTTAGTGCTAATAATTCTTGAAAATCAAGCATTTAACTGCCATTTCAGAACTGGATTTCGTCCGTGCATGGACATCACATATATATAATATATAATTGTTCCTTTGTGATGTATGCATTGGATATGAAACTTTATTGACTGTATGTGATGATTGTTGTGCAACTAAATTTGCTTGTATACCGATGCCTGATTTGACGTATAAAATTACCGTAGTAATTTCTGTTTTTCATTTTAGTGGCGTAGGAATCAAAATGACAGAACCATTATATTCTGCACCTTCGCTGAATGCTGTACTTCCTGATTGTATGTTTCTACAAAACTTACCATCAATTGTTGTGGGTCATGTGATGAGTCCACAGTCTGGTGATATTGTACTAGATATGTGTGCAGCTCCAGGTAAGTCTACAGTCTGGTGATATTGTACTAGATATGTGTGCAGCTCCAGGTAAATCTACAGTCTGGTGATATTGTACTAGATATGTGTGCAGCTCCAGGTAAATCTACAGTCTGGTGATATTGTACTAGATATGTGTGCAGCTCCAGGTAAATCTACAGTCTGGTGATATTGTACTAGATATGTGTGCAGCTCCAGGTAAGTCTACAGTCTGGTGATATTGTACTAGATATGTGTGCAGCTCCAGCTAAGTCTACAGTCTGGTGATATTGTACTAGATATGTGTGCAGCTCCAGCTGAGTCTACAGTCTGGTGATATTGTACTAGATATATGTGCAGCTCCAGGTAAGTCTACAGCCTGGTGATATTGTACTAGATATGTGTGCAGCTCCAGGTGAGTCTACAGTCTGGTGATATTGTACTAGATATGTGTGCAGCTCCAGGTGAGTCTACAGTCTGGTGATATTGTACTAGATATGTGTGCAGCTCCAGCTGAGTCTACAGTCTGGTGATATTGTACTAGATATGTGTGCAGCTCCAGCTGAGTCTACAGTCTGGTGATATTGTACTAATATGTGTGCAGCTCCCAGGTAAGTCTACAGCCTGGTGATATTGTACTAGATATGTGTGCAGCTCCAGGTGAGTCTACAGTCTGGTGATAATTGTA